GCAGTGCTCGAGGAAGCTATTGCTAGAGATGCAAGAAGTATTGGCAAAAAGATAGACCCTAGAAAGGAAATTGAGAGGCTCAAGGAGGAATTGAGATATGTTCTTGAGGTTTACTAAAGCGGATGGAATAATTTCTGGATATTTCGAGCCCTGAAAAGTTCTAGCGTTACTTTTTGAGTAAATATACCATTTACTATTTATATATTGGTTCAACAGTAGATAGAAAGCATATTTATTTAGACATTTCTAAGCCATATGATCTTTAAACTGGGTATCTTCCGTGACGCCTAACAATGCCCTCAACGCCTTAAGTACCATGGGTACACCTAGAGTACAAGTATACATAGACCTGAATAATATAGCAAAAGCTATCCTTAATCAGAATCGTAATCGACCAGAGATCCGATAGCTGCATCAGTAGCCGCGTTATTATCTTCAGTACTGGAAATGGTATCCCTCAGCTCGGATTCAGGTCGTTTCCGTTTGACGCCTGCTAATAAGGGAGTGGAAGCGTTTTTTGTGCTTCCATTTAACAAGAATGGGTCTATGGCGGCTCTTGTATTTCCTCGTATCTCAGCAGCAATGGCTTCCCTCCTAACCTTCGCTAACTCTTCCGACTTGGTCTTCTTAGAGCCCTTCGACTGCTTCTCTCCGTGTCGTTTTTTGTTTTGACTCGGATTATTACTGCGAAATAATGGCCTGGCGACAGCCTTTGTAATAGCGTCATCTGTTCCGAAATTTCCAAAGTCTACGAGTGCTGCCCTCTTAACATCATCCTCATGTTCCGGGAGCAAATCAAATCCAAAACTCATTTTGTCCTGCAGCTTGCTGGCCACCCCTGCCTCTTTTTCTCTCTCTTTCCGACCCACTCGAAATGCTTTCCTCAATTTCCTATTCCTTTCGTATGGATCTTCCCACTGCTTATCTGCTACATCCTGTAACTCCTCTATCCTCTCCTTAGCCTGCTCGAATCGTTTCTTATCTTCGACCTTGCCCTCTAGATTGGCGAACGCATTATTCCTCAACTCTTCCCTCTCTTGTTCCGTCAAAATCTTAGTATCTCCCTCAAGGACTTTATCTTCGCCTAAGTCCCTCTGCCGCGCTCCCTCTACTACCACATATGCCGTATTTTTGGGATCAGTCCTGATCTCAATCCATCCACCGCAAGCAGCATGCTTCATGCGAAAGCTGAAAATCGGTGTACTATAGTAGTTCCCAACTTTCTTCTTCTCAGCATTGAAGCGGACACCTTGTCCTATTATGGTTGGCTTCGGACAAGAAGTACACCAAATGGGATAGGGCATTTCAAACCGCACCGTGAGGATTCCTTGTGAGATCTTTGAGGCGCGAGCACCGAGGGCGTGTTTGGAGTGGAGTTTGTTGCCTGAGACGACACCTTCCAAGTCCGGAGGGACATACTTTCCCATATTAAAGCCCTGCATCTTGAAGAGATTATTAGAGTGATCTCTCGGACTTGTTATAACGTAGTGGTTCTGAGCATGCGCGACGAAGTGGGATGTGAGGTCAAGTAACCAAGTTTTGCCAATCTAGACCGCCTTCTAAGTGGCTAGTTGCTACACCTAATCTTAAATCTGACTTTATCGTAGGGCCGATAACGTCGGACAGCCGCGTCTACGTTCAGACGTTCAAGTTACAGCATTCAGATTTTGTCAAACGCGACAGGCTTATCAGAGCGGACTGTTGGTCAGTAATTTGAGGAGCTGCGTTATTGTATACACCGCTACTGTACTCTTGGGACTGAATCATCACCTTCCTACAGCAGGCGACGAACATGAGTAGTGATATTGCTGCCCTCGAAAATGAGGTGAAAGAATATAAACTGCAGGTTTGCCGCCCGCTCTAAGATAAATGTTAGCAAATACTGATGTTTCATATAGTTGGAAACTGTTCAACTAGGTCTGCAAGCAGATCCCGATAATGCAGAACTTCAGGAACTCCAAACCGAACTTGAACAAGTCATTTCCCTCACCGAAGCTTCGATCGCAGAACTAAAGCCATCTCCAGTACCTGTAGCGGCCCCAAAAAGGCCTTCTGAGCCGCCTGTAAAGGAGAAGTGGTCCCGAGAAAACCATCCGGCCTTCAAGAAGACGACAGCAGCGCCCACTCCTGCTGAAGAACCAGAGACATCGACAAATTTTTCCGTCAATGACATGGTATTAGCAAAATGGCATTCTGGCGACAAGGGATTTTATCCAGCACGTATAACATCAATAACGGGATCTTCCACTGCTCCGGTCTATATTGTCAAGTTCAAAGGCTATGACACCACGGAGACTCTCCGTGCTAAAGACATAAAACCCATCGTGAATCCTAACAAACGCAAAGCTGATGGAACACCAGTCGCCACACCTCCACCGCCGCCACCTCCGACCAACACAAATGTGATATCTGCAGCTGCAGATATTAATCCCGAACTTGCACAGAAGTCTAAGCGAGAGCCTAGTAAGGTCAGTGATGGTCCCGTTAGACCAGCTAAGGTTCCCAAGAAGATCAAGGCCAACAAAGAGTTGGAGGCCGGGAAAAACAAGTGGCAGGATTTTGCTACCAAGGGGAAGTTCGGTAAGACCGGCAAGAAAGAGAGTATGTTTCGCACGCCGGAAGGTATCCATGGTAGAGGTAAGAATACCGTTCACACCAAGTCTGCTCAACATATAATAACAATGCTGTAGTTGGATTCACCGGTTCCGGTAAAGCCATGAGCAAAGATCCTACGAGAAGTCGCCATATATACCAAACTAACGGCGATGATGATTTCTGATTTGGTTTGCAAGCAATGATACGGAAGGGAAAAAGGTTATTCTTCATAAGGATTAGGCGTCTAACTGGATATTCATTCTAAGCATCCATTTCTCTTTATCTAATTGTATTGGAAGCTAACGTCCCTTCGACAAGGATTTTAGACGAAGTTAGAAACATTATGAATTTATCTATGAAAATAATGTAAATCCCTACAACCTGCTATAGAGATTTGTCTGTTTTATTGGTTCCAGGCTAAATATTAAGTATGCATGTAGGCATTGGGACATCATTGTCAACAAAAGTTCTGCCATCCTTATGCGAATATTTTCTTTCTATTCTCCGAAATGGCATGCACTGTCTATATCTATTCCTGTAAACGTCGCACTATCGTACCCATGTTCTACCACCTTACTTCCGATAAAGTATAGTCGGGGTATGAACAGTAACAGGTGAGTTTGGCTAAAACGAAAGTTGTATATCCGTGATTGTCCTGCAGAATAATTCGTAAGGGGATGCAAGCAAGGAAGTATGATTTCTCACAACGGTAGGAAAGAAGTATTAGACACTAAAATCCCGTATGTGGAATAATTGGAGTAGGCTACTTCTCTTTGCAGCCACCATCTATGGATCCTTACTGGAACTTGTAAATATGTCGTTCATAGTTGCTGGTCCATATATCATTTTACTAGTTCTTCAGATTCTTATAGTACATAATAACTACATATCGGGAAGACCGATGTCCTTCCCGATGATTTGTGCAATGTTCATAAATGCCTCGGCCCTCTCACTATCAGGTTCAGACACGACTGTAGGCTTCCCTCGATCTGCGTCATCACAAATGCGCGGGTGTAAAGGGACGTCTCCCAGGAACTTAACACCATGCTTCTCGCAAGCATGTGTTACGCCCGCATGAGATCCAAAAATGTGTGTACTGTTATGACAATGTGGACAGACGAATAGCGACATATTCTGTATCATACCAAGGAGAGGTATATTCATCTTTTTGAACATATTTATCCCTTTGACTGCATCTTTAAGAGCAATATCCTGGGGCGTTGACACAATGATAGCACCTATACAAGTGAGCTACTCTGAACGTAGAATTGAAAACGGTCTCATCATACCATCAAGGACAACTTGCTGTGTAATTGTGAGCTGCGTGTCTCCAGTCCCAGGAGGAAGATCTAGCACAAGGACATCCAATCCACCCCAATCGACTTCATGTAAGAGTTGCTGTAAAGCCTTCATGACCATGAGTCCACGCCATACTACAGGGGCATCCTCTCCCACGAGGTATCCCATCGACATGGACTTAACGCCATAGTTCGACAATGGAACAAGTTGATTGTCTGTACAATGTCAGACTGCTATTGCTCTCTTCCTCTGGAATTATCTGGAATCTACAGACTTGAAGATAACCGGGGTTCGCCAGAGAGGTTTAGCAAAGTCGGAATGGATGGACCAAATATATCAGTATCTAGGATACCGCTGCGGAGACCTCGTTTGGCGAAGGCAAGTGCTAAGTTAACTTTTCCTTGTTTTAGGGATTGATTATCTATTAAACAGCGTGCTATGCTGCGCACCTGAAATTGTAGATTTTCCAACTCCGCCTTTGGCGGAGGATACTGCAATAACCTTCTTTACATCTTTGATCCTCCGCCGTTCAGGTAAGCCACGCTGAAAGCGAGGGATACTACCTGTTCGAGGTAATCCCTATATCAAAACTCAGTTGAATATATTATAACTGTATCTGATTGACGTACTAGTGGATTCTCATGCTGCAAATATCGCAACGTGGAGAATAATCGTGGCTTCATAATTTCCGATATAGACTCCTTGATTCTTGAGGAAGTTCAAGAACTGGTACAGGGATATGGAGGCATTGAAGCGGGCGCTAGCTATGGTATACCAAGTTGTGGGTGGGTGCAAGTTTAAGCAAATCGACTTTTGGGATAGTTGAGCTGAATCAAACTCAACAATCGGAGTTGATTTTAACTGATTCATTGATTAATAAATATGACTAGTCCTAGTCTGATAAAGCGTATAAGATATAATCGAACCTAGAAAGTTTCAACCGTAAATTGTTGACTCGGTTGTTACTTGTTAGACTCATTGCAAAGAAAAAGGTACGCTTTGAAAAAAAGGGTATAGCTCGCTTACAAGGTCCCTATAATTATCATGAGAGTATAAAAGAGTGCAACTTAAAATATAAAAATATAAATATATTAAAAAATGCAGTCTGCCACCTGAGAGAATCGAACTCGCGACCTCATCATTACAAGTGATGCGCTCCTATTTTCAAGGTTAGATATATAAATAAGCCTATTTTGTGAATGTGGGAAACTTACTACCACTGAGCTAAGGAGGCCTGATTGAAACATCTTATGACAATATATGAGGCCATTAGGCCTTAGGAGGGATTCGGTTCGCTGAGAGAATCGCAAAGCTATCGCCAAAGCTGTGTTGCCCCACGAGGTTTTAGAAATGATCACAAGAAATAACAGCGAGATATTTGTAATGATTACAGCTTTCAAGTACCCGGATTCACTAGGTCAAGTAATAAAGGTTGTATGTTGTAGGTAAGGGTGGCCATGATAAGCAAAATTTCGTTTGCGATCGAGTAGTGAATTTGAACCGCTATCAGGTAGATAGGCTTTGTCTTGATGACTAGAGCTATAATCTATGCCTAAGTGCATAAGAAGGACAAATAGCTAGGATGCTGAAAGTCCTACGGACTTTATGCAACATCGAAAGCAAATAAATCTTTACAGTCTCCCAGGAACAACCCTCTCTCTGACCCGAGATTACTTCGATCATAACCCTGAAATGCCAGGCTTCCGGGTACGGTATGGCTGTACTATATCGCCAACGCCCTACGGTTGTTGGCTCCTTTTAGCATACGTACAAGGCTAAGGTCCCGTAAGCGAAGCCTGTAACGCCTGAGCCTGTAACGCTTAACTACTGATTTTAATCGCTATGAGTAGATTTAGCTTCTTTATAGGTAGATCTCAGTTTAGATTTTTATAATGTATTGATAGATTGATAGTAAGAGAAATATATGTATCGTTCTCACCAAAACCTTACTTGAGCGGATGCTCAAGGCGCTCATGGCAATAATTCAAAAAGGCGAAATTATTTAATTCAAAATTGGCGGAGGGGAATGTCAGATTAGTCAACCGTATCAACTGTAGGTTTAGATAGTGAGGTAAATGTGGAAGCACGGGCCTATTTTTGAGCCTTTGAAAGGTTTTTTTTCCCTCCTAGCTTGACTGCTCATATATTATCATAAGAAATATATTTGCATCAAGCCTCCTTAGCTCAGTGGTAGTAAGTATCTCTCTGCCTCAAGATAAAGGCTCATATCTAACCTTGAAAATAGGAGCGCATCACTAGTAATGATGAGGTCGCGAGTTCAATTCTCTCAGGAGGCAACTTCACTTTTTTGGCATTTATAATTTTTCTTCCGGCTTTATCAAGTATATATCGCCATAAGAAAAACCCTTCCAATTAGCCTCCTTAGCTCAGTGGTAGTAAGTTATTCCCACCTCCAAAAGAGAGGTGTATACGGGTCTAACTTTGAAGTAGGAGCGCATCACTCGTAATGATGAGGTCGCGAGTTCGATTCTCTCAGGTGGCAGACTTCATTTTTAATATATTTATATTTTTATAAAACAAGTATATTCAATTACAGTTGTAGAGTTTTAACTTTTTAATCCAATTCTCTTAAAACTGTCAATTCGCTTAAAGTGACGCATACCTACAAGAAGATATTAGAGTTTGTTGAAGCAAACATCAGGAAGTATCCCACCAAGTCTTACTATCCATAGAGCAAACAGATCATACCACTCAGATGTGTTTAAATCACATAACATATTTCTAAAGCGGGTTGTAAGAGGGGACGCCTGACGCATCCAGCCAATTGCAACTTCATATTTGCCGACTTCAGTTCTACAAATGAGGGTCTAGGCTCCAGTGGAGGCCTGTTTCAGTTTTTCTAGACCTGCCTACTCAAAGCCGTGAAGCTAAGAGTTTCTATCAGTAATGCTTTCCACCGTCTAAGCCACACTGTGGCTACGCTCCCACCAATTCATGGTATGTAACATATGAGTATTAGTGGTTTGGTAACTGAATGGGTATCGGTAACACTTCCGCCTTTCATCATTAGAACGTGGGAGCGCGGGGTGCGGTTCACCGATACGGAAGATCTCTTTCTTTTTATTCATTTTTCTTTATTGATATTTTATCCATGGATTGACAACTAATTACCGGGGAGTAAACAGGTTTATGAGCAATGATAGTTTCCCTCTTTGCACTTTTGATCATGCATTGGTTCGGAATAAGTATTACTACTTACAAGGAGATCTAATGGTCTCGCTATTTTCACAAAGGAATCTAGCTAGATATCAAAATTCAGTTTGATCTGGGTGCAGATCGCTGACGAGACAAATTTATAAGCTAGTGCTTGTGAATAGGATTGATAGATCATAGTATCTTTTACTGGAGGGCACATTAATGCCAAATGAAAGAGTAAGATCACATTTTATGTCTTATACCGGTTGGTTCGACGAGAATAATTAGGGTTACTTCTTATTGAGAGATTGTCTGATCTCCATGGACAATGTGTGCTCATTGCTTTACGGTTATTGATGGGTTTGAAATTATGAAGTAATGTTAAAAGGCATGGTTTTCGGGTAAGCAAAAACGTATGGTTTAGCTCTTTGCGTCAACAATGATGAAATCTGTGAAGCAGGTGTTCTAGTGACGGGATGGAATTGGCAGGGCAAAGCAGGAAAGTGCGATCGAAATCTCCTTTTGTTGCTACCTTGTTTCCTTTCCTCCTTCGTCCGCCTCCAATCAAAATTTCATTCCTATTCAAAATTTAACACTGTTTCGGAGGTCGAACTTTGTTTAAAGCACAATATCCTGAGATAGCAAGAGAAGGGAAGCACAAAGAGATGAGGAGGCGTCTATTGAAACTCCCAGAAGACTACAACAACATCCCATGGCATGCCAAAACAATCAAGCCTTGTCAGCATCTCCATCACGCTGGGATCCGACCAAAGAGGGCTGCCTGGGTCCATATGGAAAAGCATGGATGTTGCCCATGAAGATTGCCCTTGGTGGCTATTGTTGTTTACTCTCTTGCTCGGAGCACAGGATATTTGTGTCGAGGGTCTCATAGGCGTTTTAGTTAGTAGGTTGTAAGGCCCGAAGCTCTCTTGTCAAAAGGTTTGACTAATCTTGAAGTCATAGATGACAAGATACTGGTTAGCCTGGCCGGGATTTATTTCCTGCTATCTTCACAGACGAGGGGAATGTACTCGTCCTGTAAGGCTGTCTGATTCCTTCCTGCTCTCTGACCGCTTCTGGATACAGAATCAGGCAAAACAGAATGCTCTATGTCAATTTTGCGTTGAGTATTGTCCATATAGACTATCCTCAGTCATGCTGGGGCAGGGAGTCAGGGTTGTCAGAATGTTACATACGCATTTTGTAGTTGATCGAGTTAAATGCAATATCATCAAAACAATTACAATTGTACTGTTCCGGACATACAATCGAGAATAATTCGATCAATTGGAGACGAATCTCCCTGCAGCTGCGAGTACCAGGTTTCGCGGTACTAGAGACAGGGAGTGTTGTTATACTGACAGGAGAACATTCTTTGCAGGTAGGCACTGCCACAGCCTCGTCGAGCGCGCAGACTGGGTCTCACACCTCCCGATTTCTTACCGCGACTCCGGTCGAGGCAGAGGTCGCGCAATAGGCCCGCTGAAAGCGTAGGGTGAGAAAGCTATATAACTTCGCATCTCCTAATCCACTGGATCGCAGGAATACCAATTAGTCCCGGAACCCCAAGGTTCAGTCGTCACCTAATCGACATCTACGAGTGCTATTCAGCATGCCTTTCTAGTGAGGGGTAGCCCACCGATAATTGCAAACTCATCATACACATACAGCAAATCACTACTACTACTACTACTACATTACCATTAATTTCCAGACCTCTCTATCCTGATTGATTAATACATTTCTTCTTAGCTTCGACAATCATGTCTACAAGATCAAAGTTTCGGGACCCCGATGGAATCCTAAAGATTGATCCAGTGAATGGCTTTTGCGTCGGACACGTAAAATCCAAGTCCAGAAGGTGTACAAAACCTGTGAACGCTCAGAACTTAGCTGCCGCCAAAGTTTTGATAGATGTAATGGACGAGGAAGACGATCTTTTGAATGTAAAGAGACACCTTCAGAAGCTAGCAAGTCTCACATTGTGCCGAGAATGGCACAATAGCTCTCGAGCCAATAGAAGATCTTATAATCAGATTGATGAGATTACAAGCAATTGGAAGGAGTTAGTAGATAATGCATCACGTCTCAAAAATGCTAAGGAAAATACTGAAGCAAAAAAGTCAGAGAAGGCTCAGAAGGTAGGTTACGGTAGCACTATTCACATATAGGTTATACTGATATAGGGACTAATTAGACATCAATTACTCGGGATCTACATCATGCGGCAGATCAAGAAAAACCAGAAGTCAGTCAAAGCTCAGGGGATGATCTTGATCACTCTGAAAGTGAAGCACCGGTTGAGCAAGACGGGAAAATAAGAGTTCAAACGATTGATGAACTCCTTAAGCGTCTTGAAAATACAATCACGGAGATAAATGCAAGTATGGAGCCTAGTTATTACGAGCCTGAGAATATCAAAGAAGAAACGGACGATATAGTGAACATGGAGCTGCAGCCTCAAGGGGCATCTCATAAAGAAGCAAGGCCTGTGAGCCCGAGCGAATCAAACTTTACTTACATTACGCCCCCAACTTCTCCGAGAACGATACAAATTCAAACAATTGTAGACCAACATCCTATAGAGGATTCAGTGACTCTAGAGAGCAAAAGGGAGGTGCAATATCCAGCCCTAGCAAGCTCAGATACGGATGTTGGGGAGAGCCTACCGATATCACCACAAACCAAATCGAGACTGAAGGGTAAGACTCCTATTGATAGGGAGCCTCTATCACCATCCCCAACACCAGACTTGGATACCCTTAAGGCTCCCAGAGAAACGATTGATGGGAGCACGGATGGACTGGTCATATTTCCACAAGTACCCCAACAAATTAACATTGTGCGCCTACAACGTGTTGCTACTTCACCTCTGAAAGAAGTTCCAAACCATCAGGCAAGGTCACCGATACCGGTACCGGCAGTACGCGTCCAACGAGGTCCGCTGGAAAACCTTGACCTCTTTCCTAAGGTGCCCCAAAACTCTTTCGATAGTGGCCCCATCAAGAATAAAGGTAACGGTGAATCTCAGGACTACAATCTCTCCGATATATCTAGAACGTCAAATTCTCCATCTCCAGTCAGCCGTACATTAAACGAAGAAAACGAAAAAGGAAACAGGCAAGGTGTATGTAGCATCAAGTCATAAATTCGTGCTAATCATTTTCGGATTGACATATCGAATATTGGATAGATTGGGCTTGCGGGCCGATTTAACATTGTTGAATTCGAAGATATTGCTTGCTATGATACATAATTCTTCTCTTGTGTCTTTACCCACTGGATGTAGATGATGTTATTATCCTCATCATCCGTTAAACTATTCTATGCTTTCTTGACACAGTCGTCTATGAAGTTTCCCGTTTATGAGCATGATAGTAGATTCCATTTTTTCTCCTCAAGCTTGACCCTCGACTGTAGTATTGCCAGAGGTTTCTGAGGTCTACCGCATCTTAGCAAAGCCTGATTGTAAATTGAGGCTAGAAACTTGATCACTTACCGGATATGGTGGGTAGGGAAAAAAAGGAAGGCAGGCTACCGGTTCTCTGTCTGCACGTCGCTCCCTCCATGTCTTATACGCAGGGTGTCCTCGGCACGCCACATCCTAAAAGCTGAATTAGTCGAAGATGTGAGGAACAAAGACCTTTTTTTCAACTTTTCTTACCTCACTATTCATTGCTGCCAATAGTTCTGGTGCTATCTTTTCGCGTTCTTCTGCTGACTCCGTTCCTTTCCACTGACACAGGAGGAGGATTCTTCTGTTGCGAGCATCCCGTGGATCGGGGTGATAGTTTCGATTGATCTCAAGTCTGGGTGTAGCCATGACCGCTAGTGTTGAGAGAGATGTTGGAGAGAAGGCTAATTAATTGTGATGAAGAAAGTGAAGAAAGACGTGATGGTGAGGGTAAGAAGGGGATCTTATATAGGTAATAGGGAAGGCATTAGTGAGTCAAGACCACCACACTGAGCGATCTAATCAAGAGTCAATCAAATAACACAAGTAGGCAACTCTGGATGTACGGGTCAACTAGGTAAAAAGATTACACGTTCAAACAAGTCAAAATCGATTAAGTAAACCAAGTCAATCATGGTAGTGCCCCCTCAGACCTCCTCCTGAGTGTGTCACCTTACTTCCCCTATCTCCTCCAGCCAATCCGTGGATCCAGGAATTGAAGCTCAGTCTATACAAGTCCAAATCCGCAATCAGGGCATAAAGTTGAAAAGTATGTGAGCCACAATATAGAAAACATCAACCACAATCATACAATACATGAAAGAATTAAGGCATGAGCTTACTACTTCTACATTACCTTGCAAATGGTCCCTAAAATGCTCATACTGAAACGA